ATCATAGAAATCGGTATAGAAATATATTAGTCGAAATTGATTTTTGAGAAACACATTCTTTTAATGACAAGAGTCTTCAGGTAGCTACAAAGACAAACACATGACAAAGACATGTCTTATAAAAAAACAGGAACCTAGGGTTTGTTAATGTCAAGGTAATAATTTCATTTTGTTACTATTTTATCATCGTGGACCCGATATATCTATACTAATATTATAAATCTGAAGTGTTTGTTTGTTTGTTTGTTTGAACGCGCTAATCTCAGGAACTACTGGTTCGAATTGAAAATTTCGTACGATTTTTTTTTGTGTTGAATAGACTATTTATCGAGGAAGGCTTTAGGCTATATAACATCACGCTGCAACTATTAGGAGCGAAGAAATAATGGAAAACACGGACGAAGTCGCTGGCGTCCACTAGTCTAAATCGAAACACTAAAAGTGGATACACCAAAAAATGTTTAAAGTTTGTAAACTAATATCATATTCAACACTGTCGAGACAAAGACATTCTAACAAGACCTACATCGAGGAGCTCGGTTGTGCAGTGTTTAGCTTGTATAGTCTGTGATGCGTAGTTTAATTAACTTCCGTAAGGTCTGTCGTGTGATGGGTGATCAAAAATTTACTACCTCAAGTTCCTCCTTGTTTCGGAAGACACGTAAAGCCGTTGGTCCCGGCAGCGTCTACGTGTGAATTTTATCCGTTCTCCCTATTTGATTCGATTCCAAGTATAGGAGAGACCTGTGCCCAGAAGGGACAAAAGCGGTCCTCTGATGAAGTTGAGATGATTAAATAAATAATATTAAGCAACATCTCTCATACGTTGCTTAGATTCCTAGATGAGTAGCTAAAGCCCCCGTATTATGGAGTATCTGAGACAACGAAGGTACCACGACACCCAGATCCGATACAATAAAGACACGTCCCTTTTGTACATTGACCTGTCCGAGAATCGAACCCGGGATCTCAGAGATGGTACATTAGCTATATTATTATTGGTAAATATTATTTAAATAATATATTTAGTATTATTTTACCTACCTAAATTTACTAAATTACATCCATACGAATAAATACATATTTAATTCTGTTGGTTAGGTAAAAAAGATTACAACTCCTTATTTATGTAGTTTAACACATCTCACACACGAACAAAACGAACGTGTGTGGTATGCATAAATTATAAATATATCAGCAAGAAACAGTAATCTATTTAAATGGGTATAATGGACTTTCGTATTTCAAAGAATTTTTTGTATGAATGTTATTTTTGTTTTCACCAGTATGATGTCACCATGTGATGAAATATCATTGTGTTTTAAGTGATTGATCATGTTTGTAATGTATGTGTGATGTTTGGACACTCTAGACCGATAGCTGTCAACCGGTTACAACTGGAGCGTGTGACCCGCATCATGACCCATTTGCGATTACGGACAGACAAACACTGCAACTTTTATAGAACGAGATTGTCTAAATAGCACAGTTCACTTAGTATGCAGGAACAAAGTCGAAATAACAATAATAACCACCTACTAAATATACAGGTTTCTTTCATAACATACTTTTTACGTCATTAGAATTTCAAGTTTATAATATTAAATGACGTCCCATGGCATCACTCAAGTCCTTCAAGCCGGATCGAAGCTATAAAACATAATTGTTTTATTGCTATTATTTTACTCTTTCCTAAATTGCAATTAGTTAGTTAGCAATTTAGTAGGTAGGTACAATAAGATTTTGCTGAATTAATTTAATTCTAATCTAACATTACAATTATAATGATATTGTAATTCAATTAATTCCGACAAGGTGCTAACAATGATTTTAGAATGTTTAAGAGAACGTGGTGCATAATTAGATTCGAGACAACGTTAAATTTATTTTTGATAGCGACTGGTGAAACTGAGACAACAACAGCTATACGATAAGAGAACCAGTTCGTACCAGTACACGCTGCGGCCGCAGGGGGCCGCGCAGACGATCACATATGCGCGCGCGCACACAAGCAAAGAACTACTGATAAGCGGCGATAACACCGTACCACTCGAGTTAACACAAGTATGAGTTGACGTACAATGTCGTAGAATGTTTGCGAAAATTTTAATTACATTGTTCTCAGAAACTGTGAGTGTAAGAACCTATAAGTATATTCTTGCAGCATACTTTACGACAAATAATTAAATAGTCAAAGCTTTCCAATATTTACTGTAATGTGATAAGGTTTTTTATACATTATTTGATTTAACCGGTTCATTCCACAAACAAGCCAACACGCAGAGATACTAGTTTTAAGAATTTAAAGATGTGACAGCTATTTTCTTATGGGCTACCGCACATCTGACGATACGTGCGTCCGGCATATCATTGATCGCAATTTATCATCGGTCGATTGTATTGTTGGTTTGCACATTTAGTTCAAATAATATGCACATAAAGTTCACAAAAAATTATAAATGGATATATAAACATATGTATTTTGAAACCCTGAGACTGCAATCAAAAGACATAACAAATAAAACTATATCGAAATAATAATCGATGTAAAAGTTGCATCCAAGATTGTAGCTTTTATTAGGCAACGTGTAAAGAGCGGATATTTTAATTAGTAAAAAATCACTGTATATTCATAGATAAATAAGTAAACGAATCAAACTGGCATAGTGCGAGTTGAGTGCAGTAAATTTTGTTATAATATAACATATCCGTTACTGTCTGACGGACAACTCGACTGCCTTGACTCGAATCTATACGAACACCTTGTCTTTAGTTGACTATCTAGCAGCGGTCTTATTAATGTTTCCGTTCTGTAGTTATACTAGAAACGGACACACACGTTCCGCAGCGCACATTTATTTTATAACGCAGGGGAAATTAAGTTAAAGCCTCAAACCAGGGCTCTCCCCGCCTACTAACTACCCCTCCCTGAAAGAGACAGATTGAGTGTGGCTGGCCTACATATTCAAAACCGCTGCGTTTCATCTGACGCGGTTGAACAGTCAAGTATCCGCCAACCCTAATTTAACGCCACCAATTTTGAACCTTCCACAAATCATATATTGAGAATGCATATAAATATTGTACTGGACCTGCATATGGTCATTGTGCTGTACTACTTTGCCAAATACTTTAGTAACGACGAGCGAACGATAAAGAATGGTAATTACGGATTTGATAGTGTTACCAACGTAGTTGTTTCATCATCATCATATCAACCGAGAGACGCCCACTGCTGGGCATAGGCCTCCCCCAAAGATTTCCAACGTGATCGGTCCTGCGCCTCCCGCATTCAGCGGCTTCTAGTGGTTTAGCCCAAAATCCAGCAAATATGTCAAAGTAGTAACATAAAATAAAATATTGTCATAACATCGCTAAGATGTCGTATCCTATGGCTAGAATCAAGGCTACACAGTAAGGTGGCATTGCAAGTCGTGCAATATTGCACTTATATCCCGGCCTTTTTTTTATTTTTGGTATGGCCAATATTGTTTTGAAAGGTTGCCGGAAGACCAAAAAACATTAAATTTTTTGTTATGGCCTGGCAATAAGTTGTCGATAAATATTGCCTATAATTTCTTTGAAGTACTGTCATGAGCACATCACGTTATAGGAATCTGTCAAACTTCAATTGATTTTCAACTTTAATTCATTGATAGTAGAGTTCAAAATCTGCAGGATTTTGAAGTATTGTGGTAATCTGTCATTCTGTTTTATGCACCTTTAAAATATGCGCTCTAAAATGTCCATCATTATCATCACCAGCTTAACAATGTAGCCTCTGCTGGAGCTCAGGCCTTCCCTATGGATAGAAACAAATAAAGAATGGGTCATGCATGACCCACCACGCGGGCGCGTGGGTCAGTGCGGCTTGGTGGTTGTTAACGATTACAGATACAGTCAGGACCAACGACTTACCGTGCCTCTCGAAACACAAAGGAGGTCAAGATAATAAAGTTTTGGTCACCCATCTTATGACTGGCCATTGCGAAAGTTGCTTACGGCGCTAACTATTGCGCAATCGAGCTCCTAAAATATCCATATTACTAATGTATAATAAAAGATATAATAATGGATTTTTTAATCTTTTTGCATAGTCATTTAAAAAATTCTGCAATGAGCTATATCATCGTATTACTGCGCAGTTATTTTGTAATGTTGAATGCTTATCTACCGCCTTATCTTGATCCGCTATGGGATCCCGGTAAGTACACGTGTCACGATATGACGTAGCGTCTACCCGTGCCATTCATGTCTGCCAAGTTTGAACGATGCGTGATTTGAAACTTTGCACTTTAGAAGGATAATTTATTTCATTTATTAAATGAAAAAAAAAAACCTTTTTATTTGCAAGTCTACCCAGTACATCAGGCGACTATAGAATTGAAAATAATTACAGTAAATGTTTCTAAAGTTATTTTTAAAAAAATTCTTAAACTTTCTTCTACAACGAGGAAGTAAGGAAGAGTCTACAGTTTTAAATAACATTGGAATATTAAAGAACTTGTTATAAAAAAAAGTTCAGTATCGAATTAATACTTACTATAGTTGCCAATTTTGAGTAAAATCTTAGATACCTTCTAGATCCATACTAGATAATTTCCTTCAGACCGTATAGGTAATATTTTTATAATAATTATAACTATAAATGACTCCAATAAAGTAAACCAGTAGGAGGTTGCTCTACACTGAGGCGTATATCAGTCACCTATTGAACCGCAGACTATCGTACCGGTAATAACTGGACGGCAGCCGTGGCAGGCAGCTATAGATAATGCTTCCACATACACCGCACAACGAGAAACATACGCGTAATGACATTCACGTGTTACATTCAATTATGAACCTTAACGACTATTTTATTATTTTCGAAAAGAAACCACAATATGACAACACGACACTGTGTAATAAAGTTGTGTAGTTAGAACTAATATATTTTTATTGGCTATAGGGATCAATTATAACAGATCCGTGTAGTTCGCGGGGGACTAAAGCGCTTATCAGCGCTCTGCGTTGTCAGTCTGAGACGTTTTATAAGTAAACGAGTCGTGCTCCCGCCCTCACTATCGGCAACGACCGCGCAGTGACCACTACCAGTTTAAATTTAGTCAAATATAAGTGTATAGAAAAAGAACGATGTTATTGTTTCCGCATTGGAGGCCCGACGTACCCAGTGACGGGTGCAGGGTGCAGCGGTGGATGCCCGCTGAACATTTCCAATCCTATATAGCGAGACCCGTCGCTATTCAACATAAATCCCCACAGGTATATTTTGGAAACGTATTTTAACAGATCCTTCGACAACTTTCGATGGGGTTAACCCACCCTTAACCAACCCTGTTAAAATACAAACTTTAAATCGTTTTTTTTTAATAGACGGATTATGAAGAATCCTCTGGAGGCTCATCCCCCGAGCGCAATACTGACGCGCAATTGGAAGGTGGTGAGAACGTGTGCGAGTGGCGTGGATGTGGCATACGTTACCCGAGCATCGCCCGACTCTCCGCGCACGTAGCCCGTGTACACGCGCACGCACACACCGATGGACACTTCTACTGCGGATGGAAAAACTGCCGCAGACCGCAAAGAGGTTTTAACGCTCGGTTAGTATTTAAAATTCTTTAACACCGTTAATACACCAACGCAATCGCATGGGAAACATTTGCGTAATATTTATCACTAATATAATTTCTTCTTTTTCTACAGGTACAAAATGTTGGTTCACGTAAGGACACACACCAACGAACGTCCACACACGTGCAATCAGTGTAACAAAAGCTTTTCAAGAGCAGAAAACTTGAAGATCCATCTCAGATCACATTCTGGAGAGAAACCTTATGTTTGCCCTTATGAGGTAACTATATATTATTATCAGCGTTTGCCGTTCTATCTTCAAAAATATAATTTTCAGTATATTGGGCCTTACATTATTTATATTAACATTCAATTTCCTTTGTCTACAGGGTTGCGGTAAAGCATACTCCAATTCCAGCGATCGTTTCAAACACACACGGACCCACACTGTCGACAAACCTTATTATTGCAAAGTACCTGGCTGCAACAAGCGCTACACAGATCCGTCCAGTCTTAGAAAACACGTCAAAACCAACAAACACTTTACCAAGGAGGAAGATGTACGGCGAGACTCATCAGACGGAGTCCAAAGTCCAGACGCGGCCATTTCGTCACCTTCAAAGGATAACAACCCTTGTCACACCGTGATAAAATCGACATCACCTGTTCATATGCATTCGCCTAACCAAATGCATTATAGCCCACCGAGAACAACTTCACCGACAATACCATACGCCTCAATACCATTACGAGAACCCACCATGAGTTATCCATTACTCGACCAAGTCACCTACATAGATCCAATATACCCAATCAGAGTGCCGTCCAATGAAATGTCTTACTTAGAATACACACAAATGTATGAGCACGCATACAGAAATTATTATTCAAACTCCATCAGTTATTCTACGTTACCACAGAGGATCAGCGAAAAAGTATATAGTTATGATAATCCTATTCAATACAAGGACGTTGAAATGGAAGAAATTCGTAAAGAAGACAGATACGTGCCAGAGGAAGAAATGCCTTTAAACTTGATATGCACTAAACAAAGGATAGAGTGCAAACCTATTGAAAAACTAGTCAAAATAACAGACTTACCATTAGATTTAAGTACAAAAAGTTAAGTAAATTATTTTAAAACAAACATGTATTTCTCTTTATTATCCATATATAAAAAATATATAAAACAACTGACAGTGCTATATAATACAAAATATAATAAACTATGACGTATTCAAATTAGAAATTTCATCTTATAACAAGTCACATGTTATTCAGCACATTTTTATCAAGAACAATAAAAATTATAAAACCCCGAGATAACATCTATGACTATTTAATTTCTCTTTAAAGTGCCTATCACATATGATTAATATGTATAATCTCATTAAAATATGAGAGATTAAATATTATGCAAATAAAAACAAAATGTTAATTACACGATAGGAAACTTAATAATGTATATAAAGTCAGTTAATTTATTTACTTTAATATGTCACGCGCGTATGATATCGCTTCTCGTAGGTGGTAACTTTCGCGATCGGATCAGTATTTCGAAATATTACCTCCTACAAACAAATAAAGTTGGAAATTCTATCTCTTTATAATACAGTACCAGTACCCAGTACTACAGGTTAATGGTTTTAACACTTATAACTGTACAGAGGTTAATTATGTCTTTACTACTATAACTGTCAACATTATCCAACAGTCTTGCTGCAAGTCTGATTTACAGAAAAAATAAGCACATTGTTCGTAGTATACGAAGTATTCAAATTATAGCTCTCTTAATAAAACATGTTGTCTAACTAAGAGTCAATAAATAAAAACTCTGATCCCTGGTAATATGTATCATTTTTAAAACAATTCTGTGGTGTTAATATAACGCACCCTTATAGATGAAACTTATTCGCCTTGATACTCGTACTAATTTAAAAGACAGTAACTTAAGAGTAACATCAAAAGTAATAATTACATTTAATTTTTAACTTTATTTGTAAAACTTCTAAATTCGGTTTAATGTTTCATATCTTAATACAATTAAAAGTGAATTTTGGTATATATACCGCTATATATATATATTTACTTTATTATTTACCTAACTATATATAAAAGGAGATATCATGACGCTTGTTGTAGAGACATGAAATTTGGAGACTTTTTTGGAGTCTACCCCGTTGAGGTCAAAAAGGATGAAAACTTTTGTTTGAAACTTCTTTGTTTTTGTACCTATATCTACTTTATACTATATCTACTATATCTACTTTTTGTACCTATATCTAGTTTAAGACCCTAGAAAGGTAATATAGCAAAAGTATGTATGTGTATACACAGACATACTGACGTGAGAGCTTAACAGAGATATGTCTATTAAGCTGTCGCTGAATATAGTTCTCCGATTTTCTTCGATTTGATCAAATCGAAGCAAAATTTTATAAATAGATATTAATAATATTTATTTTAGCGTTCTTAGAAATGCTGCCCGAAGTAATTATACCACGCGTACGAAATTCAAAAACTACTCGTAATATATGACAAATATAAAAAAGGGTTATTTTGAAAAAGTCATTTACAACGATGTATTATAGTAATATATTATTTAGGTTTAAAACACCTAGACTCCCGTGAAGGTCTAATAAGGTTTGTAAAAACAATACACAATTGAAAAAATACAACTTTTATTTATACATACATACACATAATTAATGTCATTTATATTCTTTATTATCTTCATATGAAATTAAACATGTTCAAGAGATACTGTACGTAATTACTAATCAACTTGTTTATTTATAAAACAATAATTATAGACGTCCACTTTTCAGGTATGCGTCACAAGAGATTAAATTCCAAAGGTAACTTCAAATGCAAGTCCTTGGAAAGCACTTAAGAGCGACGGTGATACGGAATGGCGTCAAAGTAGCGAGCCAATAACACCAATCACTTGTTCGAGATAACTTTACAATAAGCAGTGTGTAAGAGTCTACAATACTTTAAGTATCTAACAAACATATGTAGTTCATTTAACAATAGGTAACTGGAATAACGCAAAAACCTAATTATATAAAAATAATATATGTATTTATTTATGAAACTTTATTATCCAGCGAATAAATGGTGTAATAGGCGGTAAAGGAGTGCAATTCATATATACGCAGTAATCCAAATAGTTAATCTAATCTTTATGTATCATGATTCAGCTTCCATATATCAGTGTCTACAAAACTTGGAAATTTATCGCTAAATTTGCATTTTTTTCTAACTGCGGGAGGTTTGTATTCGACATATACATATACATTTGTACTTTCTCAAATTTCGCTAAAATTACTGATTGAATTTAGATTTTTTTACTATATATTAACACGAAGTTTCTGCCTATCAGACCAAGCTACAGCCAGTCGAGTAGAAATTAGAATTTTCAAAACTAATCATTATTTATATACTACCTTGTTGAGATATATGAAGCCCTGCGTCCACATTTTCCAATCACATTTCAGCATATTGTAATAATATAAATCACATTACAAAATCCTTAGTTGAACATATGCTATGCCCTTACGAGCTTGGACATACCCTCTGCAATCGTATTGAGTGCAGCTAAATCTTTCCTTGCAGTGTCCAATAAATGCGCCATACCACGTTGCTGTAAAGTCAAGAACTGCTTCACGTCTTCTTGTGCACCTAAACAAATAGAATCGATACTCTTAATCATAAAAAAATCACAGAACATCATAGAATAGCACACTACAAGGTGCACACTCTCGTTAATATATATTCTATCAATCCTATTAATATTATAAATGTGAAAGTTTATTTGTTTGGATGTTTGTCGGTCAATCACGCCGAAACTACTGAACGGATTTTGATGAAATTTGGTATACAGATAGAGTATTGCGTGAAAAATATGTATGTATAATCTAAATTCTACCCTCTTTTAATATTCTGTGGTTACGGCGAAATTATTATAAGGGATGCATCGAATACTACTTACTATATATAATTCACAATGTAAAAAATATATAGACTTCTTTTTTAACAAGATTACAATCAATATTTACCACTGACAGTGTCTTGTTCAAATAGCACATAATACATTACTTATCAACTATCTTTTAATAAGACTAAACTCTAGGTATGCGCATGCCACCTTGCCATCTATCACAGAAATCATTGTACCTAGTATTTCTAAACGAAGTATTTTTAAGATACTTTTTCCCTGTTGTTTTGTTTTCAAATGTAAAGAGTACACTAATAAATACATTTAATAAAGATAATTTAATGTACAAATTATTAGATCACATAGTGCGTATACACGGTTCAAACCAAACCGAAATTTAACTGAAATTCTGAAATTCATACGAATATTCGGTAATTAGCAATTTTGCGTATATATCCGTAGCATCACTAGTGTCGCCAGACCTCTAAAATCTACGCATGCCTTAACACCATGCATATTCTTGAATTAATTAAATAAAAATAAAATCAAAATATAGGTTTTGATTATAATTACCTGGGTCCAGATAATAACGCTCATGATATGTCCCAGCACATGCGCTACGCTGCAATCTAACAGCACATAATAGTTCGTTTAGACGACCCTGCAACAATTATTGTCATACATTCACTGTTATATTGCAAAAGTACATTTTCAGTAAGGCAGATAAAACTCCTCGATGCGATAACAACTAATAAAAATCACTAGACGTCATAGTCTTTATATCGTCTCGCGTGAGTTCTTCACATTCGGTATACCCACCTGCAGGCCTACAGCTACATTACTATTAAAAAACCGTTGTCTTCGATTTGGTTGGCATTGAATAGAATCAAAATATGCTTAACATTCAATACGTTGAGTTGAATCCAATGCACACAACGTTCAATACGACATTGAAAATTGAGTAAACATTTTTAATGGAACAGAAAAATCGAAGGTATTTTTTATAACCTGCAGTACAAGTCTATGGTTAATGGAATTTACTTTACTTTACTTGTCTCAGAAGGAACAGAGGTTTTGAAGTTATTGTGAACTGATTAAATTATCCGGTTTATTTGGCAATATCCGGCAAGCTTCCCAAAAGAACTGACTAGTTATAAAACATTTACCCAAATTCATCTAATATCGCATGCGTTACATAGTTATACTGCATCCCGCATGCGGACTACTACGACCCATGGAAATGGTCGTTAATACCTAAACAAAACTAACAAGTTAAAACTACCCCAATCTGGTAACTTAAAACGACAATGACTGACTCTTTATCCGTATACAAACATATCACATAAGTAAAGAATAAAAACTGCAATAACATTAAGTGAAAAACAATTAGTCATGTTTTTTTTTTCTTAATGTCGAAATTACAATTAACTTACATAGGTCATAAGTAATTTTGATCACATAAAATTTTGGAAAAAAAACCTATTCATATTATTGTTTGGATGTTTGTCCGTCAATCACGACGAAACTACTGAACGGTTTTTCATGAAATTTGGTATACAGATAGTGTATTAGCTGACTTAGATAATAGGAAACTTTTCATCCCACTAAACATTTCCCTAGGGGCCCCGCGGGCGAAGCCGCTGGCGAAAGCTAGTTCTTAATATTTGAAATATTCGAGCAACATTTTTGTAATATGAAATTTATTACCATATTTCAAATGTTGCATTCACAATGCTATATTGATATTTACTTTACAGAAAAAAACAAACAAGAGCCTACTTGACTGCTTTTTTATTTTATAAATAGTCCATTAATATGTGAGAAAAAATGTGTAAGTGTCTGCGATTAATAATTTCAGAGATACGGTGCTATATGTGTGGAACTGCTGCTAGTCGGCCGAAAACGCTCCCTACAAATGAGCAAGCTCCCTTGCTAAAATCGCCCTAAAAGGTTGCGGGTTCAAATCCCGTTTTGGGAAACCGAGGCGATTGAATTTATAAGTGCATTTCTTATAAATACAAGATATGTATTTTTGATATTTTTAAAATAAAGTCATTCATACTGATCAATCTCAAATCTTTCAATTATCTATCGGAAACTTGTCTATCAATCTAACATAGGAATATTAAGCTGCGGTAACCGATCACGATTACATACCATGCACCTGTTGTACTAGTTCGAAGCAGTACAACTGATAAGCTTCGCACACATACGAATTGACAGATAAAACAGGAACCGACCTAAATTAAATTACAAACTCATTAGCACACCGCGTATTCTTGATTGACTTGTCGCCGGGGTTCGATAGTAAACTTTACGACTAACGAGTTTTTAATTGTTCAGAACTATTTGACACGTAGAGGTCTTGTATATATACACGTTGTGTATAGAAGTTTTTGAGAAACGGTGTCCTCATTCTGTTACTCTGGCTACTTCTAAGGAAAATCAAAATAAATTGTTCACAGAGCTCTATGGCCAAGCAGTCATCGCACGGCTTTGGTAATCTGTCACTCATCTATATATATGAAAATGAATCGCCAAAATTTATGTACGCGCCTAACTTCCAAACGACTGCACCAAATGATTCTTTTTTTTTGTGTTCCTTACTTTCAGAACAAGGTTTAAAAATACGGCGGGTATATGGCGGTACGAAGTTCGCCGGGTCAGCTGGTTTTTAATTAATCACAAACCCCTTGCTAGCTGCTTTATATATTTTTTAATTTAGCTGAAATCACCCGTTGAAGTTCACTAATGCTTACGGAATACAAAATAACAGTTTATCGATACAAGATCAAGTGTCAAAATGGAGTTCAGTGGAGATCATCAATACTGACATTCCAACTTGCGAACCATTGATAGAAAATACTACGAGTAATAAGTGATTTTGACACATTAAAGTTGCTTACTTTTCGGTCATTACGATTTTAGGTTGTCGGTAGTTTATTAATAAGATTTTAATTGTTTAGACCTTTTGGTACGTGCAAATATTGTAAAATCCAATACAGCTTGTATAAAAAAGTTGGAATAGTTGAAAAAAAACTACCGCTCTAGGAGACACCGGAGACAAAATTTTAAGCGAATCGTTCTCTCCCACTACGAATGACGTTTTAGAACAACAGGAGCTTCATTTTTTCTTATTCTATTACATAAAACTGTGCCAAAATTTTGGAAGATGCTGATACTACGTTGATATATAGCAAATTAGAAGCTCTGTATATTTATTATATCAATTGTGCATTTGTATCAAGGGGCAACAAGCTACAGCATAAATTACAGCATACATTATTGTTTCAATACGGTTTGTATTACGTAATGCTCTGCCCGTTGCAATAGCGCAAATTTAAATTCTCATAAGTTCAAAGCGACATTAAAGGTACAAAATTTCCGATTCTGAAACTTCTTTATAGCTACTGATGCTATCAATAAAGTATAATAAAAATATCTGAAAACGGCTGTAAATTTTGTAGGAAAATGTTGATTATTCTGGGGTGAGAACTGTCAAATGTTCTGGAAGTAAGTTACAGTTAAGCAAACATCTCGAACCTATTGTAAAAACAATAACTCTCTCTAACTTCAATCGTAACAGCAACATTCATGTATTTTTATTAACTCCATAAAAATTAGATTTGATGCGAAAACTAAAATTAGATGAATTCAATAAACTTTTTATAGCAGCCGATAACAAAACATGTCTGGTGTCTGGAGATAGCATAGATAACAGAGATAAAACATGAATAGGGAGCATATACTTTGGACCGTCAAGGGCGTAGTAGGGCTGATAAAAATAATTCCCATATATCACAATATTAAAACCCAAAATGAAATCACCAAGATAAAAAAAGTACACCAGCCAAAATGAATCATCATACCAAAGCGACGTCGAATATATTGAAGTAGTAACAAAAGTTTGTCTATAAGAAAACCACTAAAAACACAACATTGACATTTAATATAAGTTTTTATGTAAAATAACACCTAATACGAGTTTTGCCAAATATGTTTGGCAGCAATCATGCTCTTAAAAATCAAATTGTACCTATACGGCAGAATAAACATTGCTGTGAGCAAAAATACGGCAATAAAAGAAAATTTTCATGTAATATTTACTTTAAAGAAGGAATTTAGTATGAAAATGAATGATTTCTTTTTCAAAATGTTCAAGTAGGTATCGTCTATTCTATGGCATTGGGAACTCTCCGATTGCGGGACTTTCCCTTCCCTGTGGGTGTTTTTGCCTCTCACTCTCACATAGGTATATAGCTTTTAACTCACGTCGCAAACGTTACTTATTTTTTTAAGTAAATAAAAAAATATGACAATTATTGTAGAAATGCGATTTCTTTCTCTTGTATACGGCAACCCAATATATGCCTTATACTAAGTATATGTATATAAAATCGTACGTGTAGACTTATAATAATTAGTTTATGAAACTTAATTCTTTTAGTATTAAAATAGCTTAAAATATCGTTTGATCGAATGAAAAAATTTATAAAATCACTTTTTGGTCACAGAACTTGAAAATATTATTCCTAACCTTATTGCCAATTGAATAAGACCTAAATTGGTACTTAATATTAAAAACGCAGCGATAATTTAATAAATAAATATTCCTAATGAAAAAATGGTTAAAAGATCTATCAGCCCCAGGTACTCTGAGATGTGATAGGATAGGATGGGATGGATCGTGGGTTCGAGTCGAATATTTTCCAGTGTAGCAATGTGAATGCAAAATGGATGAAATATAATAATAAAATACTATAAATTACGTTTCCTATTTTAAAAAACCTTTACGACATCTAGTTTTAACTAACCAATTAACGGTTAACCAAATATAATGTACTTTCTGACCTATCCTATTTATCCGAAAACGAAATTTCGTCTATTTTAGAAATATTGAAATGACTTCAAAGAAACGCAGTTTTGAATAATTTATGATATAATAATATTCACGAATATGATTTACACAAAATTATTAGAACGATTGGAAATTTTACGATTTTCGTTCGAGGACAAATAGAATAGGCCCTCATGTGTCCTGTTATTTAGTAAGTGTTATACTTACATTAGAGAGTGGAGGAGCTGCAAGTTGCGATAACAGTTCGTGTAGGCGCGCTCTCATCGCTTCTTCTTCTGGACTCAGCGCTGCGCCCACTCGTCCCACGACCTCTTGTTTAGATATTACCTACAACACAACAAACAAACCGTTCTCAGTAAATACCATCTAATATGAAGTGTATTAAAATACCTACCAATCCCGATCACATGATAGAAAATTTATAATCAGTCTCGTAGAAGTGTGGGGAATGAGGAAAAACACTTTATCTGAGTTTTTTTTTGTTGTTCAGTCTTATTTTAATAGACTTCTCCGGCAGGCGACATATGACATATAAGGCGCAACTCAAAGAAATTTTCATTGGCAAAGTATTTATCGTCATTATTAAAAAGCCAAATAATGTAATTAATTGTTAATGAAAAAAGCTTAAAATCCTCTTTGTCGCTTGCACTCTGAGATGGATTTTTTATTTTTTATTTTTGCATCACCAGCCTATTAAACTGCTGGGGCTCAGACCTTCCTTATGGATGAAATCAAATCGAATAGGAAGAATAAGAATCAGCAATAAGGCCGCTTTTCCATGTAATTATTTCTTTTTGTTTTGTGTAATTGTTTTAGTTCAATATAGTATATTTAATCAATCAAATAACATAGGATACGGTGTGAAGATATAGATGGATATAAATAAATATATATAATAAATAGGCTCCAAAACTACTGGACCGATTATAAAAATTCTATCACATACGGAAAGCTACATCATACGCGGTTCACATACACTATAAATTATGCGGGCGAAGTAACGGGGAAAAACACTAATACGAGTATTTCAACAAAGGCAAAATTACCTGTAATAGTGTATGCCGTAATCCATGTAATCTTGCTGAAAGTTGGGCTAGTTGTGCAGCGGACGCAGCCCGGCGAGTTCGCAACTCGCCTAGTGTATCACTTGCCTTACGAAGCCAACTTGCTTGCAAACTAGCTTCTTCAGATTGACAGCGTGAACGGAATTTAATCTGATAAAATAAATCATAGTCATCAGCCTATTAATTGAAAATAAAGAACAGTTTGCTGGCTCTAGTATATTTTGATGTCAGAGTTTTCTATTAAGAACTGACAGAAATATCTCGAAGACAATATCGCCATCTAGTGACATTTATAAGTTATTCCCCGTTTAGATATCGTAACAAGAACAACAGTAAAAATTGTTATTAAATAATAGGAAAACATATTTTTATTAACTAATTTGAAATGCCCACGAAATCAATTACACACATGACGTTTTTAATCGTGAAGTCACATTTCGATAAATAAGTTTTTATTACTAAAAAGTAATGTCTTCCTAACAACCTTGCGAACTGAACAAAATTATATCTACACAAGTACTATAATATAATACATATATGAAATATTTACTGTAAAATAAAGTAAAATATAACATTTATATAATTTTTTTCGATGACAGATAAGAATTAGACAGAATTTTGAGTGAGTGACAGATAGTGCTCTCTGACTATGATATAATGTGGCCTATTAAAATTACCCTTCTGTAACAAATCTTTTGAACTTACAAAATAAATAAATAATGATTAGCATCTGAATCATATCATTGAAGGTTAGTAAGTAAAAAATTTCTATGTACACACTTCAGAAAATCCTATTATAGGCACTGGAATATAGTTGTCAGGATCTGGGTTATCAGCTTGAGCTTGTTTCCATAAACGCATATCCATGCCTGAAAGACAAATAGAGTATAATAATCAACCACTTTATCACCATAACATAACTTAGAGTCTTTTTATTTATTGCATGAATTTTTGTAAATAATCATTTAATATGTAAACATTGAGGTATATATAAAATGAAAAGGAATCAATTTACTTTATAACAACGCAATATCAAATGGATAGGTCATTTTTTTAAACATGACCAAATGTGATAATGAAATCAGAGACATTAGATATATATATTATTAGTGAAATTATGTTTACTTATTGTAAAAATCATAATAGCATTTGCTATTTTAGTCAACCATAACAAATTACAACAAAATTTAACAATAACAATCGAAACCAACAAAAACAAAATAATGCGTGATCTCAACGCAACCTAACTCAAAAAGTATACTCGTCAACCAATCTTTATTTGTTAATGGTACTAATTTTTTGAATGCAATTACGTCATCAAAATGGCGGCCAGGCGCATTAGCAATTTGCAGGGATTATAACTAACGTGACCATTTTTTCTTTGGATCAAATCGGGACACCGGTTTTTAAGGAATAAAATGGGGTGGGGTTATTAGAAATCGTGAATTCTTGTGACTAATGTATATGTCACAAGAAAATTTCAAAAACCCCAAAGTACATAATACAGTGCGTGCACAGAACACTGAAAGACGTTAGAAGGGCCTTGTGGGCGTGGCAGTGTAGCCACGATCCTGCACAAATGTACAGGATCGTGACTTCACCACGTGATCGCGATGTTTAGTCATTCACGAACACGCGCGCTGTAAGTACTGTAAAATACGCCACTAAAAGTGTTAAAAATGCCGACTTGCGCAGTGTTATAATTGCAAAACAAGAAGCCCATCCTCAAGTAGATCCATAGGAAGGATTTCTTTCCATTAGTAAGTAGAACACTTCTCAAACTTAGTATTTTAGTCGAAATTCGAGAAATGTTATCAAAAGTGTGAATCACAAAAAATATTTCCAAGAAAATATACATTACTGGAGAAGTGCGCATATTTATTACATTGCGTCGTAAGCACGTAATGTAAAAAACATCGCGAAATCACCGTTTTTAATAGCAACATAATAGATTACGATAGATGGCTAGTGAAGTGCCTCGAAACATTTAATCGATTTTTGGTGTGTTAGTTAGTAAAATCAAAATAAAACTAAGGACGATAAAAATAGTGGTAATAAAAAATAAATTTAATCAGAGATTAACAATAGCAATAAATAAAATGTAACCCTATTCTGACTACTATATTGACTTTGTTTGGTATGCGTTTGTATAGTAATTTAATATGAGTGTGGTAATAAGTCCGTTTTTATATTCTTAATATTGTAACAGAAAATTAGTTTTTTTTTAAACCATTAACAACAATACTTTTTAAATCATCGGAATCCTTTCGGGATAAGTTCCAATAACATTTATTGTACTAATTGTATTTTTTTATTTTATCTGTTTACTATACCGAATCAATGTTCATTAGTTCATTAGTAATTTAAATATTTCTTACTGAATCAACCGACTAATAAACAATTATATCTAAAGAAAAAAGATAATGTCACATTTAATCAATACAATTAAATATATATCCAAAATAATATAAAGAAATTATTAACTATAGTATGCTTTCAATAATCGACTTGTTGTTTTTCAAAATCGATAATTAATAACTTTATGTCAATCACTGGTGTGATATGTCAAATTAAAATGGCTTTTACACGTTTATGCGCACTCTAGATGTCTGTTATGGTTGAGCGTGATTGGTTATAGTTATATTGGAGCGTTCTGATTGGCAAGTTTAAAATGCAAGTGTGTACATATCTTTTGTATAATTGGTCTAATATTTCGTCTGATGTACGGCGGAAAAGTGGGGCAAGACTGGCGACATCGGTTTTCGTACAAAGGATGCATGATTGCCTTTCTAACCTCTTTTCCGTGTTCTGTGCAGTGCATGCATGATACAGTATTATCGCCTTGCCCAGTGTGCGTCCAACAAAATTTTCTCACGATTTCGAAAATAAGCCAATTTAGCGTCCCAAGGTTATCATCAGGAATGTCGGGACAGAAAATCAAAAAACGGGACGTTTAGTGACATCAATTATAACTCACCCGGCGGCGGCGTCTGCAGATAGTGTTGCAACATCTGCGGCGTGGGTCTCGTGGCGGCGGACACGCACCCGCAGCCGGCGCCGGTGAGGGCCGCACGCGCCGCACCGTTCAAGAATCCGGACAACTCGGACGCGGACACGTGCGACCCGCCAGCGTTCTTGTCTACCACATACACCACCACCTATGTACGGGCAACAGTACGTCAGGTATTTTTTTATTCGGAAAACGCACAGTGATATTTGTCTGTAACAATAGGGATGTAGGCGACTTTTTTATGTTTTATTATATACTAGCTTTTTAATAGAATATATAAGTTACAATAGGGATGTAGACAGCTTTTTTATGTTTTATTATATATATAAACCTAATTCTCAAAATTTTCCAAAATAAAATTTCCCGCGAAGACGCCACTTCGGTTTTGGCATCGCTATGACGTCACGATACTCTGAAACGAGTATCGTTCTATGTATGCATAAGGTTGAATTCTCTAAATTCTGATATGAGTAAGATAGGCGTGACGTCACACGCTATTTGCAGTCACGTGACGAGTATAAAATATTGTTTTTTTTCATAATTAATTTCAGCAATATTATAAATATATAATAATCCTACTTATATTATAAATGCAAAAGTTTGTGATGATCGATGTACCTATGTATGTTTGTTACTCTTTCACGAAAAAAGTAGTGGACGGATTATGATGAAATTTGGTATATTAGTGGAGAGAAATAATTACACGACAATATGTCACTAACTCAAGCAGATACTTTTAACAAACAAACAAGAACTCGAATTAAGTAAAAACTGCTTACAGTTACACTCATATCTATAGTCAAGAGAAATAAAGAAAACATAACTTTTGGAAATATTTTTTGCCAATAGATGAGAATTTAAATGTAGTAAGAACTATTAATAGCAAATAAAAATAATATTTTAACTATTAATAGTTTTACTTCCTTCAAAGTTTTGTTTATTTGGTAAAAAAAATCTGCTTAAGTTATGATATATTCAGCCAGTTGCACAAACGTCCATTAAAATTGTCATAAGTTTAAAGCGACATTACCCATACAAATCTGACATTCATTAGAGCTCAAAGGCGTCATTAAACTATAATGGACGTTTGTGCAACTGACCGATTGTCAAGTAACTACCTCTTTATTCGGCAATTTCATACTTTAACCCCCTATTATATATTAAAAACAAAACACATCCCAGTACACTTCCCTGTGGAATAGATATTGACACTTCTACTTGTTGAGATCGTACGGTTTTATATTGCCTGATTTGCTGTTGAGATTTTCTATTTCGACATATTGACTTCGGTTGTTAAGTAGGAAGCAAACCTTTTATTTGCTTTACCTCTTACACCTATCCCGTGTAATAGGGAATATGCGTCTGATTCAAAAAAAGGTTAAATATATTTTATTACAATCGTTATTGCTTTAGAATAAAGTCTATCTAAATATTTATTAATATTAGTTCGTTTTCGTCTTGAAAATAATTATTAAAAAGTGCAAAATAAATGCGGTAATTTCAAAATATTTAAACGCCATGCTACTTGTCAGAGCGGATGTGACGAAAATGTACACGTATAGGGATGTCGTTGTTACAAAAAGTTAACATCGATGCAATAACATCAATGTATTATGTCGCAAAATAAACAACTGATTACAATTTAAATGATGTTTTAGGCTTTTATTTTTATTTCTCCAATTTAGTAAATTATATGATTTATTAAAAAAGTCTATTATACTTTAAAAAATCGATTAGTTGTTAATCGATTTAGGTAATTGAATAATAATCAATCACTCAAAATCCATATTGATTTAAAATGTCATATCTCTAGTCGTGTACTTTGACGTCACGACGAGCGCGCAAAAAAATCCGGTGTTTAAACTGCTCGTAACTATTACTTATTTTCATTAATTATTAATGTTACAGAATTTTAGTTTTTCGGTGCCGGGTATTTTTTTACAGTTATATATCGATGTAAACTATCATATAAAACCATTTTCCAAAAGTGTGCATATCCTCTATTACACATACGTACAATAATACAATAATTACACATGATATTTAATTCAAGGAGCAATATACGATTTCTTATTGTAATTATAATTATAGGAAAAATTGAGAAACATCATGCAGCAGCTAAGAATAGTCGTAATATGAACTTTGCGAGTACATTATTTTTCAAACAGTTTTTTACGCGCAATTCAACATCCTCTGTACCTATCTATTTGCCGTGGGCAATGAGATATAAAGTTTTTGCATTACGCTTTAGTAATAACTAATTTGTGCGTAAATAAATAATTTATTATCTGTGATTTTCTTCTGTTCTTCTGTTGTACATTGTAATGTCGACACAAAACATAATTTAATAATGAATATCATATAATATTCATAAAATGAGTATTATTTTTGCACAATAACTCCATTCGATTCACAGTTCTTAGAAAACCATATCGATTTGTTAAGTTAATCGAGAATTTTATGAAGGACACCTCACTATCAAGTTCAGATTGATAGATTTCAAATGTGTTTTTTATAATGACGGAACTGTATATAGATAGGGACACGCATGTATATTACGTTTGGTCATGACATAATTATATCCATTTCATCTTAATATGTAATAGAATGACAACAGACAAAAATAACACATACACCCCTACATTATGCTTTAACTAAATAACATAATAACTAAATTAACTATACTACATTCAATAAAAGATTTCGTTTTACCTGGGTCTTATTTTCCGAAACAGCTTTCACAGAATCAATATTCACAACTAGATGTGGTTTATTTCCCAACAAACCAGACAGTGATGTTATAAATGCTTGCTGATTATTTCTGTATAAAAAAAAAAAACAAATGATTATATCGACCAGGCGATAGCGACTGTTAGTCCAGTCGATCGTGGCAATTCAAAAAATAATAATAAAATCAAAATGCTACATAATTGTGTACAAACTATGCTTTTTCATTTAAGATTTTAAGAAGTAAAGTTATTGGTAGATTGTGCTGGGTGTCGTCAGTGAAAAGTCGATCTTGAATCTAAACAAGTTGGCCGCCCCTGATCTACACTAACATTATAAAGACGAAAGATTTGATTGTTTGTTTGTTTGCAATGAATAGGCTCCGAAACAACTGTGAATGCTACGTCATATGGGGGTGACGTAGGCTTTAATATACGCAGGCAAAGACGAAAACAGCTCATTAATTGTAAAGTTACTCACTTGATTTCTTGTTCAGGTTTATTAAACAACATAGCCACATGACCATCTTTGTCCTCACGTCCTCCGAGGCGAGAATAACCAACTGCTTTGAATCTACATAGTGGATTTTGTTCATTCAAGTCTAGTGGTGGTGCATTACGATTATAATATGCCTGACCTGAAAAAACACATACAATAAAAGTTGAAAATATTTACAGATGAGACAATTTTTACTAATATGAAGATTCAGCATGACATTATAAGTACATGCATAGCACATAGTGACCTCGTAGTTTAATTATTTAATAGTATTTTTAATGCTTATAAGCTGCAATAAGATAATTTTAATACCATTATGATATTATAATAAAATTTATCTCCTACCAGTTCCCCATTGAGCTTGCAGAAGATTCCACTTAGCTAGGACCTGGTCCCTTTCGTCACCAAATACACAGCAATTAAAAACTGCTGCCACCAAGGCCTCATGAGCTGTAGTAGGGCCTTGACTTTGTTGTTGTTGCTGCTGCAAATTTACAAACGAACCAGAAATTATAATTCCAATTTATAGCATAAACTAGGCGTTTTTTTTTATTTTGTTGCCAACGACCATTACTAAATAATGTCATAGGCACAATAAGTGGGTACCGTCACAGAATATATATAAAAGAAGAAACCTACATACAAAGTGCGCTCGGGCAACTCACACATAAACATACCAGAAAAATGCGGATTTATTACACTTTAAAATACAACAATCGTGCATTTCGCCAATGCCGAAATCGTTGCAAAATACTTTCTGTAACAAATTTGTAAAAAAAATATAATATCAATTAAAATATTTTAATTATTATTAATTTATATTTCCATTATCTCTGTTTTATTCTCTCGAATATCTCTACTAAGATAGATTTTTTTGAAAAATCCACAGTTGAAAACCCTAGCGCGGCCGATGAGCGTAGGTATAAAAAAATTATGTACATACATTTGATTACCTTATGGTATATTCTGTGGTACCGACGACAAAAAAATTATAAATGTATTTTTACTTGGCTTGACATTCCATCAATGGAAGATTATCGAACTTTACAAAAACCTACATAACAAAACGATCAAAGTATAGAAGGATTCATCAAAAAAACAGATGGATGATAACAACCAACAGGTAAAGAAGTAGCAATGGCGTTGCTAGCGGTACTCAAGAGGGTCTTCCTGGACGTGGTGTGGTCCAACTCGAAACAAACGTCATGTCTTTATATTAGTTCTAGCTATTTTCCCGCGACATCGCCCGCGTTAATTATAGCCTATGTCACCAGCGTACAATGAAGCTTCCCGTAGGTGAAAGAATTTTTAAAATTGGTCAAGTGGTTTCTGAGTATATTCTTTGCAAAAAACAAACAAACATAGAAATCCATTAATCTCTCCTCTTTATAATACCAGTATTAGTTTAGAGATTCTATATTCTAGTCTCATACTGTTGATATAACAAAATATTTTTTTGTTATATCACTAAATGATTTAGTAAATACGAAACTTTACCTGCACTTGCTGACCAAAAGCAGGTGTTGTTCCAAGGTTTGTGCCAAATCCACCAAATCCTGTGGCTGGTTTAGTGGTAAATGTAGAACCAAAAGTAGATCCGGTGCCAAATGTATTTGAACCAAGAGCATTAGTACCAAATGTACCTGTACCTGCACCAAAACCTGTGCCAGAGCCAAGAGTATTGGTGCCAAACCCAGTTGTTCCAAAACCTATAACATTTCATTAAACTGAATATTATAATAAAAACAAATTATTACTCCATCTAAAATTCTATACTATTTTTGCTTCTCAAGATGAATGTAATCACAAAATATAAAGAGCCTCCAGGACAAGATAACACCTGACGTCATAAACAACAACATAAATTTTTGATAATTCATTAAATTTGACTTTCATACAAAAATGAAATTTAATTTTAAACAACATAAATTTGTTTGTGAAAAAAATGCACGTGTCACAGCAGGACAATAAAAATTGAAAATTAAAAATAATTGTTCAAAGTATGGAGTTACGTTAAATGCTGCTATGATTAGCTGAACAGATCAATCCAATTGCGGGTATTTTAAAATTATCTCCTAAATATATTAACTTATTTGCAATGTGTAGTGCCTATACCAAATTACTAATTGAGGTAACTATTAAAAATTTATCTGTGAACATTACACAAGTTAACACATATTACTTAATAAAAATATTTACCAGTAGCTGGTTTAGCAGCAGTATTTCCAAAACCTGTACCGCCAAACAGTGATGGTGCTGTAGAGGTAGGGATTGAACCTAATCCTCCAAAGGGAGCTGCTATATAAACAAGATAACATAAAAATATGTTATTTATCAAGATATAAATAAAGACTTTTAAAGCTATATGAACTATATGGCAAAGAATTACTGTCTTAGTTACAAATATAACAGTATAGGTAGTAATATCTGGGGGCATGGGAGTGCCCCCTCTAAGCTGAGCAAAAAAGTGAAAAGGGCATGACTGTACCACTCCTTCTTGAAGCCAATCAAGCCATTTTTTAGCCCCTGTAACCCTCTGTGTAGTAATCTAGAAGCCTAAATTTTCAGTGTCCAAGAGGGCATCACATAACAAGGCATGTTTCCATTAAATAATTACTTGAAGAATTATTGCAATTTAAAATATCTCAATTTTGTCATGGGCTGACTCATAAATCATCAAAATTCTAAGTTACTTCTAGTATATTTGCATGCTTCAAATTTTGAACATGTTTTTCGTATTGCAAAGTAAGGAAAGATTCTAAGATTGTGAAACATTTGTCCCATTTTTTTGATTTATGCAATAAACACAACTGTAGAGCATTTTGAAAATATCCATCAACATGTTGCTTAGTAGCAACCCAAAATGAATTTTAACACTGTGATACAAACATTTACCAATGACTAAATAAAATATACATTATTAAAATCAATGTTAAGGAAATTATTACTTCAGAAAACCTATTTACATTTAGACATGCATACCATAGATATATAAATCTATGTAGCATACAGACCATGAATGGCTTCCAACTTTTACCAATTAGTTTGTCAGTCAGATAATAGAAAAATAATATACATAATTTTTGCTTCAATTTAACAAGAAATGACTTAAACAGTAGGCATTAAAGTTGAGAAGTGGGGGCTTGCTACATCACAACTATATTTTTATTTAGCTGTATACAAAGTTATCTTTTCTCCACCCCAAATAAAAGCTGCAGTATAGCTAAATCAAACTTGTCAAATATTGTCATTATTAGTTAAAAAATAAATCATTATTTATTTATCATTACTCTGTCTTGTCTTTATTATAGATTGTTTTACCAAAAAATTACCAACTTTCAAATTGTAAGGGGATATTTTACAGATAGACTTTGACTATACCCCTAATTACTGACAGGTACGCCCATGAAATAGTCCAATTTCAACCCTTGATCGCATGTTTGACCTATTAATATTGGTGTTTGAAACAGTATTTATATTTTGTTACTTTTGCTCACAAGTATAACTTAGTCATTACTTATTATGTATATTTACTTGTATTGGTAGATCCAAAAGTACCGAATCCAGAAGAACTAGTTGAAGTCCCAAAATTAAACCCAGCATTTGAAGTTGTGGCAGTATTCGTACTTCCAAACGAAAAGGTTGCTGAAACAAATAAATAAAAACGGACGATGATGATATAAGACAAAAGAAATATTATCATATTGTATTACCTTAATCTAACGTGAATTAACTTACGCTTTGTCGCCGAACCAAAAGGTGCACTTTGCGTTGTAGTAGTGTTAGAACCAAACGAAAAAGACATTATTGATATTGACAGACTATATTATTCAAATATATCCTAATTCAGTATAAATGACTTGTATAATTCACTTTATATATTATTCAACTTTTATTTTAGGTTCTATAAAAATTAAAAACAAATATGACAAACACCAATAGACATTTTTTTTTTGTTTTTTTTCCGTAAGTAAAATAGGCGATGGGAGCTCAGCGCATACATCCATAGTCGGTTGTAATTAACCATGCAGGCCTTTTTTGTATTGTAGAAAGTAAAAGTCAAATCAAATATTATTGATACAAATCATGCTAAATGTCAGATAAAAAAAAGACATATTCTTATTAAAAAACGTTTAAATAATCCACTTTGTCCCTGGCACTCTTTACTGACATCAAATAAACTACATTATAAACACTCTGTCAATGCATGAGAATCTGATCTATTTTTGATGAAAATAATTGTCAAAGTTTAAATAGCTAAAATCACGAACGCCGATAAATAAGTCAAGGCGACGTAACCTGTTTATTAATCATTTATTTACGAAGTAAACAAATAGTATTACAGAAAAGAAATTGATGTTTTGTATTTGTATCTGCTGTGGTTTTGTTTATAAAAATTAGCTACAAATTGTATTTATAAATTCAAAGAACAATGGCCAACTGCCTAACATGCTTGGAATAGTAAAATCGAATAAAACGTAACTTTATGAAACATATGTTATTTTGTTTGCCTATGCAACTAGAACAAAGAAAGACATTAAATATATTTTTAAAAGCTGGGAGTATCGAGTAATTGTGTAATATGTTTTTGAGGTTATGTCGTATTATTTAAACTGTAGCGTTTTGGTTTAGAGGTATTACAGTTGAAATATGTAAAGCACACGTCAGATAAAGCCTAATCCTAGTCCTAGAAGAACAAGATCGATTTTATTTCTGACTAATCGAATTTGTTACAAATCTTATATTATTTACTAACTATATAAATCCATGAAAATTATAAAACTTAGATTAGATTACTAATATAATTAGATGTTACTTAGAGGAAAATAGTTTATTTATAATGAAATTAAAAACAAATGATTATTCATAGGAATCGATATTACGATATTCAATCGATTGCGACCTCCCTTTTTTAGACAAATATGTATAATATGTAGACGTGTTTCTACGCAAACCGTTTTGTAACTTTGGCGGTGATTTTGTATTATCTTCTGTATTATGGGGAGCATACTAGGTTCCATGGGCAGTATAGAATTGAGATTTGGAGAGAAATACCGGATTTTCTTGATTTATTAGAATTAGACTTAAATATAAATAAAGTCCTAATTATAAGGAGTAGAATTAAGTCGAGTCATTGGGAGGAAACATTATTATGTGTACATTTTAAAGAATAATGACACATCCGGGTTAGATGGCATAAGAGAACACTGCTGTAATTATCTTATTGGTCGATCTACACTGGGTTGCTGTGCTCTTATAATGACCATAGTTTGGTATCTTGGATGGGCCAGACACGAACAGAATGTAGCTGCTTCTGCAGCATTCCGTGATGAGGTATCATTAGAGTTGTAATAAAGAAAAGAAAAATCAACATGTTGTTTTACTATATCCTTTTGAAATTAGTATTTTCACTACTAGATTATATAAGTTATAGTGTAAGATAGAAAAGTAGAGTTATTGAGAGCAATCTTAAAAATTCTAGTATTTTTTTTTTATGTTCATTGGTTCACAAAAAATGACTTTTATTTCTTACAGTCAATAAAAATAATTTATCAGATATGGACTTCTCTAGGAATGACATTATTAATAAGATGCGTTCAAAAATAACATAATTTAAACTGCGTTCTAAAAAATAAAGACATATTTTAAAGAGGATTATCTTTCTTTTCCCAGCTTTTAAAAATAAATTGTTAGTATATAATAATTACATTCAACTTATACTACATTTTGGTGATAATTTCATCTTGGTACAAGAACTTTTTTTTCGTAGTCCATTTTGACCATTGTTCTTTGCGGCTCTCTAATAAAAGTTATGACATGACAGCGTCCGGTTTACCTGTGACATCACACGCCGGTAAACAAAATCTGTTATTGGATGCGACGATAAACAATTACAGTGTGTTTTCGTCGTTCATTAACATTCCTAAAAATATTGACTTTTCTTTACGTTATTTTAAGTTGAACATATTTTATCTAAAAATTCTAAGAAATAAACTATAAGTATTAAAAAAAATAGTTCTCGAAATCAAACTAGATGTCGCTACGGTACTTTCATGATTTCTCCATGACAACCCATCCAGTTTTCTTTCATGTATAAAAGGAAATTAGGTTTTCAAAACTCAATAAACTACCTACATTCAACTCAAATAATGTCAAATACCTTAATAGGTATTAAATAGGGGCTAATGCCCCACAGATTACTTATTTACCCTTTTGACTTCATATATCGTTATTGTCAATATATATCGGTATACCGATACATCGTCGCGTCCCTAGCCATAACATCACCAAACCCAACACAATTTCCCCTGGGTAGGATTGATGGTCTGTAAACACAACCATGCTTAGTGTTGAGATTGGGAATAGTAAATGAGCTTGAGTTAGTAAAGCGAATATCATCATATTATGATTTGGCTTGGGCTATAAATCTTACAACATTCCGCTTAATATTGTAATTTTATAGTAAATCTATGGTAATATAAAATATGCATGGACCCAAAAGATGTTTAATATACTAAACTGACTTTGATAATATTGTAGTAGATTGGATTCATTGAATGTATGCAATCACATCATAATTACTAATTTATTGCATATATCACAATCACAATTTGCTGAAATCTTTCACATTTTTCCATGTTGGTAACATAACATTTTCATTGAATGTCGTAATAACAAACCAGAACATTCCAAATGGAGAATAAATGCTTACATTAATTTTGCTTTAATAGTGTACATTGTAATTGTAATAATATATATAAGAACGCATAACAGCAAAAATGAGAAAATATTATGCAATAAATATCGGAGTATAGTCTTCGCCTCCCAGGGAATCCGTTATTTCTTTCCTCCAGGAGGCTGTAGTGGTTGGCCACGTTCCTTTCCTCTGAGTTTTATACCAATTGCCCTTTCGATTTTGCCAAGAACAATGTTATTAGGGATACCACGACCAGCTTCGTAGTCATTAACGATTTGTGGCTTCTCACAAATTTTAGTAGCTAAATCTTTCTGACTCATGCCTTTAGCCTGACGTCCTTGCATTATCAATTTTCCCAAATCAAGAGGAATCTTCTCATGTTTTAACTCTTCTGTTTCTCTATCAAGTTTAGCTGTATTTTTTGTAGTCACATGTTGTTTATTAGTACCAGCACCAAATTTTTGTTGCGTGTCAACGGGTAAACCTTGACGACGTGCGGCATTTACAGCCTGTTCAGTCTTCAATGCAGATGCTTTTGGCGGCTTTTTACGAAGAATTGTAACCGTATCCCAATCAGACATGGTAAAAATATATGATCACTGGTTTATTTCAATATTAAATAATGTAGATAGAGGCAAGTGTAAATTGCAAGTTTAATTTTATTTTACCATAAATCACTTGTCGGTGCCTGAATGAAAAGAATGAATGGTTCAAAGAGTAAATGCGGACTATGATATAAATATGAGCAAATAAATGAATGAATGACTTAGACTGTGCTGTCAGATTAAAATTGAAATTGCTGCTAAATTTTAAGGCAAAAAACTTCTAAATTGAAACGTGTAATTTTCATACTTAAGATTACGTTCTTTTAAAATCAATCTAGAAGTTCTCAGAAGTCAAAGTTACTGAATAATCCCTTATTATCTGTGGGATTGCTGATATGTCTGTGAAATAAGGAAGGTATTTACTTGATAGCACAATCTCAAAGAGTTACATATTTATACTCTCAAATTGCTTCGCAAATGGAGTGAAAATATTGACCTCTAGAATTTAACCTGTCTTTATATTAACTTAATAAATAAATATATGGGGAACTTATAACATTACATATTTATTTATTTATATATATTCACTACTAACATAAACATAGACATTTCACATTCACGTAAAGAGTACATCATCATAGATTTTTGAAACACTCTGGTAATTATAGAAAGAGTAATAAAAAAAGAATATAGATAAATTGATATATACTCTCTATTCAAATAATGTTCTGAATTTGTTTCTATATTATATTTTTAAGATTGAATAATTGGAAAATGTATATAAATAATTTTATTGAATTTTGTTTGTAAGATAGTGAATATATTTAGTTATTTTTAAATCGTGTACATTATTGGGAGATTTTTATTTTCGTCATCGCTACTGCCATAAATACATGTTTGTGATGAATGGTGACATATAAAGACATTTTTATTTCAACAGTTCAATTTTTAAATATATATAGATACTGATACTCTAAATCCGGTTCAAGTTTACTAAACTTTGCACGTATCTTTATTAATATGTTGAGACCTGTGCAAATATATTTACCACACGATATATTTGCTAACCTCACGTATTAAACGTCTGTATTACTATTTTGCTTAACTTTCATGATTAAATTTTTATTTAATATGAATATTATGCCATTTCAACAAAATTACATACGTATAGGTCAATTTGATAGCTTATTTGTTTGAAATATGTTAAAAAAGAAATATGAACAGCAATACGGATTCAAATGAGATTAAAAAGAAGAATTAATAAAGAAGCAAAATTTCCTGCCACACTACACTATAGTAAGTACAATTTAAAATCAGTCCAATTTTGAGTTTATTTACTAGGAACCAACTTTAAAAAGGAAAAACAACAATTCGTTTTTTCCCCTGTTAATGTGTTAGTTTTATATTTTTAGTTCAGATTTGACGGATGCGTTAGTAGATTTTGGTAGAATATAGATTAATTTTAAAGGATACTATGATCAGAAAGTCCCCTAAATATTTCCTAGAAGCATTCAAATCTAAACATATACATTAAAAACAAAAAGTTACATTCACGTATATCTAGATTTTTAGAGAACTTTTAAATATTTGATTATATTTATCCTAAGGATCATTCTAGGAATACTCCATCGTAATGTCTCTATAGTAATGTCCAGAGATGTACAAAATACCCTGTACAATGTATCTGGAATACAAGATACAAAATACTTTTAAATTAAGTATTTCAGATACCAGATACGAAATACTTTCGAGAAAAGTATTTGAAATACTAGATACAAAATAGGTATCTTATAGATACTTTTTATAAATACAAATACTTTTCTAAAAAAAGATTTGAATTTAAGTTTGTTTATTAAAGACCACAAAAACCTAAATCTTAGACCAGATTAGAAGTCTGTAGGCGCATGGTCTGTTAAGTACGGCGGATGACAGAGAACTTCAAACCCCAGCTCTTGTAGCTTGGGTACCGCCAATTGTGTAGTATGAGGTCGTACGTGGTCGTGCAGGAGCAGTGGAACCGAACGATTGACAAAACCTGGTTGGAATTGTGTCAGCTTCTCCGTCATTGTGTTCAGTTCTTCACAATACACACAGTAAATCTGCAGTAATGCTCGTCCTGTTTGGTAAGAAGCTGTGATGAAATACATCCGCGTTAGACCACCAAACAGCAACCTTTTCGTAAACCAATAACGGGCAAACCAATAACGAGTGTGCGTTAAATGCAGTGGCGTAGCTAGATAATCTAGGGCCCTGGGGCAAATAAAAAATTGGCCCCACTGCTATCAAATATAAGCTTATCATCAGCTCTTTTTCGTGCATAGGCAGGTAATAAAACTATTAAACACTAACAACATAAATTACAATTATTTTTATACTTGGTGTAGGTATTTTGCAATAAAACGAAATAGAAAAGATTCAAGGGTTTATTATATATTTATTTAATCATAGATACGTTGCACCAGTTTACTGTTATTTAACCTATCGCCATGCAAGCTATTTACAAAAATCATCAATAGAAATATTTGATCCAGAAGTACTTGCTGAAGGCTGACTAAAAAACTTGTCAATTTTGGGCAATTTTTGTTTACTTTCTCCTCTTTCTTAGCGTTGTTTGCGTTTAAATGCACCACCGGGTTTCTTTTTTTCTGTCCATAATATTAGTTTTCTAATTTATTTATGCAATATTTATGTAAGATTGTACTCAATTAGGTACTCACTGTTCACTGACAACATTACAAAGGAAAGCGAATCATCAATGAATGAAAATGATACGATACAACGCGTCGTTGGGGAATCCCCAGCAAACGCTTTATCGCCGTCAGTGTTACTACATTTGACGGTTTGACGGACTACAATCAAATAAAATTGAACTTTTGTATGGACCAGTACAAAAAATTTATTGACACGATTACACTTACTCCTGATACAATAACTTTTTAACCATTCTCGAAAAAAAAATATTGACTCGAAGTTCACAATCGCGAATCACAAAAACGCATATCGATAAATAATAATATGTAGATATTGATTTCCAACAAATTGATGAAAACATTAATAACACTGTCAACCCACACAAATAATTTACGGGAATTCCCTTTTTACCCGACTGCGCGACGCAAAGGAGAGTACCTAATTATAACTTTGGAATTACTCATAACTGAGTTTCCATGATTAAACTCGAGTTGTGTCATTGTCAACCCTGTCATTTTTATTTTGAAGATGGGAGAAATTTTCAAAAGTTGAGTTCGATTGAGATTTTCTGGTAAAGATTCGAGGGCCCCCTGAGCTTGAGGGCCCCGGGGCACTGCCCCGCCTAGCCCCTTAGTAGCTACGCCACTGGTTAAATGACACCAAACAATGTTTGGATTCGAGTTATTTTTAACTAAATATTCATGGCGTTGATAATTGAACACTTTCTTTTTGTAAATATGTATGTTTTAGGCAAAGAATGTTTTGTGATATTTATAAAATGTAAGAAATAATCTTTTTATAAAGTATTTTATCAGAAAAAGTATTTAAAAGATACTAAGATACTAAACAAAAGTATTTAAATACAAGATACAAAATACTTCCTAAAAAAAGTATTTTAGATACAAGATGAAAATACGTATTTTGTATCTTGTATCTGTATTTCAAATACTTGTATCTAAGATAAGTCACATCTCTGGTAATGTCTCCATCATATATTTTTAGATATGTAAAATTAGGAATGAAATATTCAATAAAATTTGTATAAGTATCGATCTGTTAATTTTTAAAACACAACGTAAGTTGTGTTTTTTAAATATTGATTTTTTGCTTAAGTGCAAAAAACATAATTAGCACTATTTTTAGGAGATCCCTTGCAATCTAACACTTTTCGATATGTCATCTAGCACTTACCTTACGTATCGAATTGGCAACACTGGGTAGGTCGTATCGTATATTTTAGTATTACTCTTTGATTATTTCTGACGTTCTTTCATTATGGATTTGTCTATGATTCGTTCATTGCTCGTTGTAGTGTTATTTTTGTGTTTTGTATTTTTATCTAGTAAAGTTTTGATTGACTTTTGTTCTCAAGAGAATTTATGCTAAATCATTAAGTTTACAAGTAAGAAATTGAAGTGAAACCATTTATTATAAATGGTAAACAAACAAATTATATTGAAATTATAAGGCCGGCAACGAAATGGATTCTTGTACAGAATCAGATTCAGAAGAAGTTTTAGTTTATGTTGAAATTGGTGATGATGTTGAAATTGAACAAGTTAAAAATATCAATGTTTTAGGCGTAGATACAAAAAACCCACTTGTACAAATGGATGATAATGTTTTTACTGGTACGTAAGAGTTTCAAAAATTATTAAATATTAAACTACACTTATTTTTATAGGATACTAATAATTATACCACTATTTCAGGAAAATATCAAAATCCATTAGGCACATATATGTTTTTTAAAGATGCACCCCCACCTCAAGGTTTAGATCCAGTATTTGATCAAGTCCCTGATAAAAATTTAGAGTATTTATGTATGACCAGGAAGTTAATTAAAATGGAACATGCCTACATTACACCAAACATTAATAGTATAGGTGAGAATAAACTTGTATTTGCATAGAAAAGGAAACTAACACTAGAAGATAGTATAATATAGCTCATATTTCTGGAAGGAGATATTGAGTTTTGAACTGTTTGAAATATTTCATACCTAATGACATTGTTTCTTGGAAGATCTCTATAATAACCTCTATATTTACCATTCGGTTTGAATAGAAATCAAAATATTAGTTAAGAGAAAAGTAATGATTTAGCAAATTTTTTATTTCCACATCAATTAAAAGCTCCATTAATCAATCAATAATTTTTTTTTCACTATCAAATAAAGGTTTATCCTCTACAAAAAATGACACCATTTGGTTTATAAGCCAAGTTTACAAATTAAAATATCCTGTAAATATGCATTGCATTGTAATGGAAGTTGTTTCTGCATGCATAACATGATAAACTCAAGAACATTTTGTATACACCCGAATGTCATTTCTCGGATGCACCCATACAATATCTCACTTTTGATTAGAGAAAGGTGATATTTGGTGTAGACAAAGTGTTTCTTGTGTTTGACATGCTACACGCTGGTGCTTACAACCAAAAATAAAAAACAATAATTTTTAAGCAATTTGCTTTTAGGGAGACTACCCCTCCTCCTTCCCTAACGCTAGTAATGGAAATAGTATATAATATTAATCTTGCTTATTTGTATTTTCAGAGACAAACCCTGAGATTTCGCAATCATCTAACATTATAGAACCTATAAGTTTTAAATCATATGAAGAAGCCATTGATAAGTTCAAAGGTTTTTGGAAATCCATTGAATCTGGTGAAAATATAATGAAAGAATTAAAAAAGTGAATAATAGTCAAAGAAGTTTTATTTTTCATTTTATTTAATTAAGACTATTATAGTATAGAGACAAGTATAACATTTATATCTCTCGCTCTCGTGCCATGCAAGTCTACAAGGAATGGCGATTTAAAATGAAAATTGATATTATTGTTCATAGATTTTGTTTTTTTTATTTTAAATAAAATTCGTATACATATGACGTCACATTTCAAAAACTAGACGTCAACATCTTTGTTTCGCAATAAAGTGCAATCTAACGCATATTTATTGGAATGTCACATGAGTGATTGTTTTGTAATATTATTTTTAATTTTTCTTTATTTAATTACACTTTTAGGAAAAAGAAATCTGAATGTGGTATTCATGCGACAGTTTAAAAATACTTTTCCAAAACTAATTTTTCTCATTTCACTGGAAGTTAGCGCCATATATTTATATAAAAAAAAATGAAATGTCAAGCCGCCATTTTATTTATATATCGCCATTTCGTTCCGTAAATGAGATGGAGAATTGAAGTGTTGTAAAGTGAGACAGAAAATAAGAATTTGATTCTCTAATCAGGGCGCACGAAGTAAATAAAGTAAAAGTGTGTATTTTTTTAGCTTTAGAGTATGGCTTTATCTCAGCAGAATAGTATTGTGTTTTTCTTTATATAAGTTTCCCTATGAACACAGCGTCTCAATTTCATTTGGTTGAATGCAATGGCGTCCGTTCCGTTTACACTGAGAACGCGTCGAAATGCATTCCTTCATCCTTTTCTTACTTATATCGACTATTCAGGAGGCCGATCTAGCTTCCGTAGCGAATCATCTTTTTACGAGTAGAGTAGACTGATATGAAATATTTCCCGTTGCCTTCGCACCCTGTGTTTTGCAGCTTCTCTTTCTTGTTTCGCCGTCTTTGAGTAACCGCGCTTTTGTAGCGTTAGAATTCAATTTTACTGTTTGTGAATTTAGGATAATGTGCGGTGACAATATATCAAAGTGCCCCTTGTGTTTCAGACGTACAAAGAATAAGGTGAACATAAAAGTGATGAAGTAGTATGTACCATAAGTATAATCTATAATGTTTACTACTAACACTGTACAAACCGGCACAGTGCCGACGTTGCAATATCAAGAACATCCCACTCAAAAGACTCAAGGCAAAAACATCGAGAATGCACAGCAAAAGAACCCTCAACAGACACAACAAACTCAACAACAACAAGTAGGTTTTCTCATTTACACTTCAGCTACGTATTTTGAGGAATAACATGATATAATTATGCTTTCACTACTTTCAGGAGTTTCCAACATTCTGTTATACAACAAATGTAAATATGATTGGTAAGATAGGTACTGGGTCTACTGGAGGAACTGCTGGAGTGACTGGTGGTGTGAATATAGCCCAACTTACAACAGGCGATGATAAGACATGTTACATAGCTCAACCATTCTCATATAATTATGCTCTTGTCAATCAAATGCAGATTGCCCCTAATGGAATTCAAAATACCATATCTAACATCAGTTTCAAGTGTGATGTTTGTGGCTTAATGTTTGGTCATCTTACTCTGCTGAATGCTCATAAAAGGATTCATGTCCAGGATACAGGTAATATTTAGTCTTATAATAATAGACTGTGGATATAATCTACTATAGAGTGCTGAATTTAGTCTATATTTTATTATGCATATTTCACATTAATTATCAACTATTAAGATTTTTCAAATTTTCATCTGTTGGAAGTGTTAATAAGTGATTTTTCAATGTTCTCCTTATGCAATTAAGTGGAGAATTAAAATTTCTTATTGCTTATTTACATGTTTATAAACCAATATCATTACAATATGGTACTAATAAGTATAACACTGGATACTAACGGCCAGTTTCTGAATTGAGAAAGTACAAAATCTCAACTGATTATTCTTAATAAATTAAAATTTTTTACGTTTCATATGGCAAAAAGTATTAGATTTACCAAATTGCTATCAACTGATAATTAAAAATTTATAAATCAGCAATGAAAACATGTTTTAATGACATTTAAAGTTGCTTAAGCACGGTTTGAGATGAACTCAACTTCAAATTCTCAATTCAGAAACCGGGTGTAAGAAATATAAAAAAAACATTATTTTTTATTACGTCTCTTTAATATATCAACCAGGTCATTATACATGAAACAGAACTACTCAATCCCTATGGGCTAATTTCCTAGTTGATAATAAACTCCTTGAAAAACACATTGATTACATACTGGAAAATGATTAACTAAAATACATAAGTAAGTCATGAATGGTGAATCTGAATACACAGATGAAGCTATGAGCGGGACTGTTTAGTCTACATTTATTTATATTTAATTAGAGTTCAAGGCTGAGATTACTTGCCTTTTTGAAGTAGTTTTGCTGCAATTGAATGAATCTTTGTCATCAAAATAATTATTATACATTTAAGATGTTAGGAAAACGGTGCATTACATGTGTTATTAATTATGGTTTGATGGATGTTAAACAGGTTAGGTATCCATTGTTAAGAGCGAAGCACTCAAACTTTACACTTAATTGATAGTTTTATTTTATTAATTATATCTGTTTTTAAGAGAATAATTATACGCTGTATATATTATTAATGGTATCTCTAAAAAATTTTGTAATTTGAAATGGTGATGATGATTGAATTTTTTTTTTTAGATAACAGTATCAGTGTTGTAGCAACTGGTGTAACTGCCAGCAATGAGGTAAATATGCCACCTCATATTCAAATTCTCTCATCGGACCCTAATGAACAACAAACCCATCATGTTCAAATTCAGGACAGTGAGTATGTTTAAAGAATAAGATTTGATATTTTATTACTGGTGAAAAATGCTAAAGTTAAATGAAAGTGCGCTTTATAATAATTATAACTTCTTTATTATATTCCAGCCAAACCAGTGATTATTGATAAGATTCAGAAATGTATTACCTGTGGTGGACATATTGCTAATAATCCCAAAAGAAAAGGACCCAAACTTATAAGATGTGAAAATTGTATTGCACAAGATTCTGTTGAGCAGAGGAATAATCAAAGTAATTAAATTTATTTATTTTCTTTTGAATATAGAATGTACATATTATTGTTCAGTTATTTTTGTTATACTATATTTGATTTAGTATACGGTTTACTATAGTTGTGTTGAATAAATACCCAGAACATCGGAGTCACCATCAGAGAAACAATTTGTTTTCTTGTTTCAATACAATGGGCATGGAAATATAAAACCTGGGTGTATGCGTTGTAGAAGGGAGCAATATATTTCTGCCCCAGTTACAAAAAATCATAGATCCTGCCTGTTATTTATTAATATAAAATAGAAGCAAAAATAATTAATTTGCTGGTTTGTAGTTTTTAACTTCCACATTTAATGTATATTAATTAATAATGACTGAACTATGTTGATACTTATAACTTTGACTACCTTATCAAAATAGTGGAAGTGCCAAAAGAATGGCTGTAGGTACAGACCTCTCTGCCTACCGTATGATAGATATGGCGTGAAGATATAAATAAAAAGAAGGGTTTCTTTTTTTTCAGTGAATTCAACACAGATATTTGTTGCATCAGAAGATAATGTTAAATTTGAAGTGACTGGGGTCACTAATGTCCAACAACCTACTGATCCTCTGGCTCCCACACCATCCAATCAACAAACCCAACAACAACAGCAACAACAAAAAACATGTATGTATTTCGTCAATTATATAGAAAATATATTTTATATATCTGTTAAATATAACAGTAATATAAACTACATCTTCCCATGAAGTTCTCTATGAACATGATTGAGGTTTTGCATTATTATGAACTCAGAGTGAAAGGTTTTGATGTTTTTGTTTACGTTTCGCCTTAAATATATTCAATCAAAATGTATCTTAATATGAAAAGTATCATTCATCTACATTAGAAGATTTTGTTTGTGTGAAAATAAAATAGAATGGCGAACGAGATCTAGCGGTTACAAGAATAAGATTCAACTACTTTTAATATACATAATTTGTTAATAACTTTAATAACGTTAAATAAGTGGGTGATAGACGTACAAACTTTATGTACGCGATTTTTAAGATCACCATCTTACTCGGCTCGTCGGCGGTGATACACGAGTAGATGACTTACACTGTTTTGCAATGTCGTCGACGGAAGAAGCTTTGTGTTATTCGGGAATGATATCTATTATATCTATTATATCTATATCTATTATATTACATCTTAACAACTAATAAAAAAAGACGCAATCGAAAAGTGTCGGTAAAGAACTGGCTTAGAAAGGAGAGCGTTTAGTACATATGAATTTAATAAGAGAGATAAATGTTAAGAAAGATTTCCGTAATTAAAAATAAATAAATAACTAAAATGACTTAAATAAGATCAACACAAAACAACTAGTGTTGCGCCCCCACGGACTGACAAAACAAAGCGGCGGCCCGCGGTTCGCAGTGCTGCCACACGCACGAGCGGAAACAAGCTAAGAATAATATTTCAAACCGTTTGGATCGCCGGCAAACTTGCGCAGCAATTTTATAGTACGCATACTTAGATGACACCCAAGCTACAATTTTGCGTACTTACTCGCACATCTATCACCCACTTAATACTTATACGGGGATATAACTTGCTGAAATTAATGACACAAATATTGACTTGACAGCGGTTACTCTCACTTAACAATGCAAAAAACTCGGTCTGTTCTGAAACTGAGACGACTAGAAGTTAATTCTGGCGAAATCCACAACGGAACGCCATGAACTTATGAAATTCAATTCAATGTAAAACGCTAATCTTTTAATGCATTATTTAAAAATGACATTCATATAATTTATGAACATGATTATATGCTTAGATCCCTTTACTTTCCCCTAGATAGGATTGAATTCTCCTATTTTAATATTATAAATGTAAAAGTTTTTTTGTTTGCATGTTTGTCCGTCAATCACGCCGAAACTACTGAACGGATTTTAATGAAATTTGGTAAACAGATAGGGTATTAGCTGACTTAGATAATAGGATACTTTTTATCCCACTAAATATTTCCCTAGGGACCACGCGTGCGAAGCCGCTGGCGAAAGCTAATCACAAATGAAAATTACATTGATTATGAATTATACACACAGATGATCGCTATTATTATAAATAATCTGCGAATGCACTTTGGTCACATTAAATGCTATTTCCTTAAATGATACGTCCCACAGAACCATTCTAAAATATTAATAGGAATTTGTGAGCTGCTATCTATGAAATCCCCTTAAATCATCACTGTCTTATTTAGGCCCAAGGTCTTAGGGAAACCCAGAAATCTCCTTTTAACATCTACATATTGATTCATGAATATTGTTTTTTCTTTTCACAGTGCCTGGACATCATCCTGTAAAAAAAAGAAACTTGGCTGCTGTAACAAAATGTCAAAACTGCAATGGCTCTGGCATTATATTTGTGGGGGGGAACAAAAATAAATTAAATCAACCTAATGTTGATAAACCTTTTCATTGTAACATTTGTGGTGGTTCGTTCTCTAGGTATTCATCTCTATGGTCTCATAAAAAACTTCACACGGGTGAGAAGAATTTTAAATGTGGAATATGTGGTATTGCTTTTGCCAAAGCAGTTTATCTGAAAAACCATTCCAGAATTCACACGGGAGAAAAACCTTATAGGTAAGAACTTTTTTATTTTTCAAAGAGATGAACAGTTATATCATAAATATAAACAATGTTATAACTCATATGAATTGACGCGACATCCGAGGCTTATTGTATTTGTCCTCTTATGACAATTGAATTGTATTGTTCTTATATATACAGACGAAATTTGCCAAGTGATTTAGATAGGTTTATATAAAGGTCTTCAAGAGGATTCCCATACTTTAACCTGTGCCTCAAAAACTAGCTTTGCATAGCAACAACACTTACTAAAAATACTTGAATGCATAATTATTTCAAATTTTGCGTTTAAATCGGTTTACCATTTGAGTTTATAGATATAAGAATCATAAAAAGGTTAGCAACCACTGGTTTCATACTATATGGTATAATATATTAATTATTCAAAAATGTGTGTTTGATAGATGTAATACTTGCGGCATGCAGTTTTCACAGTCCCCACATCTAAAAAATCACGAGAGAACGCACTCTGGCGAGAAACCTTATGTTTGTGAGGTAAGTTAATCATCACAATGAGTAGTTATTACAAAAAGTAGTTTTCCAAATCAAAACTAGATGTCGCTACGTGCATTTAAATGGTTGCATTACATCTTTGTTGGAAAATTACAAATATTGTTACGAATTTACAAAAACGTTTTAGCTCATCATGATCCTTTTAGCATTTATAATTTATATTTATTTTATTGAACTGCAATTTTGATTTTTGAAATTATATTACGTGTAAAGGAATAGAAATTACAATCTGTGCTTCATTTCGATATCATAGTTTCCAGTTAAGGTATGAAATAAATGTTTCAAATATTTCATAGTAGTCAAGAACTTCTACTACATTTATTCCAATTTCTTTACTCCTGTACTATTAAAAAGGACATCTTAGATCGAATGCTAACACCAGGTTTCTGTATTAAGAATATAAAGTTCAGCATATCTCAAACCATACTTAAACTATCTTAAATGTTACTTGAGACATGATTTCGTACTGATTTTTATTTTTTTTTATGATCAGTTGATAGCCATTTGATTAAAATGTTCTAGTTTTTTATTTCATGTTTTTGCCATGTCAAATGTAAAACAGTCAGTTTAGATTTTATAATTTTCTCAATTCAGGAACCGGACATTAGACTACTTCATTCGCTTTCCTAATCCTCTTTAACTTTCATTCGTATTGCGATAGTTAGGTAAAAGCAATTATTTTTTTCTAAATACCTAATTGACGTTATAATCTCATCAAGCTGATTTACAATGTTTTCTCTTAGATTTCGTTTTAATAAATCGTATATATAAATAAGTATATAACAAACGTTGTACAAATTATTAATATTTGTTATAATATTATTTGTTAAATATATTTTGTTTAGAATATCATTGATAATATTGTGGTTTACAGGTGTGCGATAAAGGTTTTGCAAGACACGCTACTTTGTGGAATCACAGACGCATTCATACGGGAGAGAAGCCTTATAAGTAAGTAGATTAACAATACTACTAGATTATAGATTTGTACCCTTGCTAATAAGAGACTTATAACCATTGTTTAGTTACAAATAGATCTGTCTGTCATTCTAATGCGACCTTTCATTTAAAGGGAAAAGTTAGCAAAACTACGCAAGCAATGTGTACACATTAGTTTTTATTTCAAGTACTTTGATTATGTTAAAGTAAAACTGTATGTGTAAGAGGTGAAGAGCCTGTTGGACTGAATAACAGGCATTTGAAGTTTCTAGCTTAGGCAACTTTGTGTGTATTTTGTGGAAGAAATAAACGAAATTATTATTATTACAGTTATTCGGAAGGGTTCTAGTAAATTATTAGTATAAAACATACAACCTATCTTTATAATTTACTAGCTGTTTTCCGCGACTTCGTCCGCGTAAATAAAAGCCCATGTCACCCATATATGATGTAGCTTCCCATTGGTAAAAGAATCTTTAAAATCGTCCACTATTTTTTTACAATATTCGTACAGATAATCAATTAAATTATAAGGGGAAATTTCCTCAAGGAGGAGCTCGATAGCACAGTGGTTAGTGCGCTCGGTCTGCGAAAAGTTTATTAAGCAACTTTTACAATGGCCGGTCATAGGATAGGTGACCATAAAAAACATTCTCTCGAGCTCCTCCGTGCTTCGGAAGGCACGTTAAATCGTTGGTCTCAACTGCATTTGCAATCGTTAACAGCTACAAATCGACGGTGGGGATTGCCCATTTGAGCTATTCGATTCCGTAAGGAAAGGCTATGTCCAACAGTACATTAGTAGACTGCTGCTGATGATGATGATGATGACGACGACGACGATGACATAGTAATGATCTACTTTTTATTATCAATAGGTGTGAAATTTGCGGATCAGCATTTAGTCAAGCGGCGCATCTAAAGAATCATGCGAAGGTACATTCCGGGGAGAAACCTTTTAAGTGCGATATTTGCACCGCGGCCTTCGCAGATCGGTTTGCCTTGAAACGGCATAGAGGAATCCATGACAAATACGGTATGTTATTGAAATTAATTTTTATTTTTTTCTCTTATAGCTGTTTTTGTTTTTTTTTTTATATGGCTTAATATTTATTAACAAGCAGCAGCAGATATAATTAAGATAATCTTCAAAAATAGCTATAAAAAATCTTGGTTTCATTATATTGTTAGATTCTGTTAATTTGGTAAGGTACAGTTACGATATCAACAGGTCAAACAGCGCCACTTCCTTCGAGAATTCAACAAAACCAACAAGAGCAACAACAGCAGTCCCAAACACAAAACACTGAACAACAGAGTACGCAACCAGCAGTTGAAGTGGAACATCACAATGATCAATCACTCTGAGTGTAGTTTCAATTTCGAAATCGTGTCAAATCCCACCCTTATTTGTTTTTTAAATGACAAATGTGTAGCATAATATTAACATCAATTTTATCAATGCGCAGGGGCTCAAATATGTAAATAATAATCTTTATGTATTATAAAGAAGTGAAAATCAATTCAGTTTATTTAATAAAAAAATAATTAACCAGTGCAAAATAACGGACACTGCCATTACTATATTGTAAAATTATTATGCGTCACATGCATTTTTATTGTGGTTAAATCAAATTAAAAATAATGAAAGGTCAATCAAACTAGAAATTAAATTTGAATAGAAGAGTTTACTAACAAATGAAAAACATGCGCAAATAAAAATACCTGTATAAAAGTAATTTTAATAATGCTTTTCTTGTATAAAGCTACTTAAGTTTTACCAAAATAATGTCAATGGCCATCAATCAATACATTGGAAATAATAATACCTAAATTGGCTGTGCTATTAATTAATTAGTGAAATATTTTTGTACTTGTTATTTATTTTTCTTTCATATTTAATAATAAAAACGTTACACAGAGGCGTCACCTGATGGCGCCTATTTATTCAATGTATTCCTACTGCTCATCATCTCATTCTTGGATACTTCTTTTTCATGTAAATAAATCATTAGATCTTTATGTTAAACTAGAAGCCTTTGTGATCTAGTATTTTAGCATATCCAATGACTCGTCGAATTTAAGTTTATTTAATATAAATTAGATGTACTTACTAACTTTGCAAAATATCAAGACTTGCAATATACCTTAAGCAGGCATTTGTCTGATGATAAGTACATAAATGCTGACATTTTGGTAAGTGCAACTCATTTATAAGTATTTTGCATCAGTTTCGATGCAATTTTGTAAGTTAGAAAGAATTTATAGTTACAAATAAAATTATAGTAAAAATTGGTCTAGACTGATTATTTTGTTTCATTCAATCACATTGTTCTAGTTTGCAGCACCATTATGGCACTTATTATAGACTAGCTTTCCACCAGCAGTTTCACACGTGTGGTCCTGTATTATACATATCTTCCTCTTGATTCATTCTGTATATAGATGAAAACCAAATCTGTTAATGTTATAAGAACTCGACTTTGACTTTCTCGTATATTATTTCTAATTCTAATGAGCTTTTTATTCAAAAGATGGAAGTTTAACATGTGTTATTAGCGTCATATTTACAAAAAATCATCTTTTGGCTAATAAGCATTTTTATGAGACTAGGGTTGCAGGGCTGGCCAAATACTACAGGCCCCTGACCCAAGAGGCCACAAGCTCAGAAATATAGAAATACAATTTCAAGTAAACCATTAAATAAGCATTTCAACGTATCCTAAACAAAAAGATTTGATCAATTTTAGAATGCATGCATGCAAAGTAAAGTTGATAAAAAAATGTAGTAACCAACTATATTTTTTATCAACTTTACTTTTTTGTAGCTCTGGGCATTTGTCTCACTTTTAATTTGTATTTAGAATTTGGAACATAATTCATATATTTCTTATTGAGTTACTTTTCCACTGATGCCAAAAGCAATATTGGACCAGAAAATTTCCTCCAAACTGCTTTCAAAGGTACAAAGAGTATATGCACTTTTTTTTCGATTTTAGGGTTTATTCCCTCAATTGTAATGTTCAGCTCATATTGTGCACATGAAAGCCACCTGTACAATTTCAGGTGGTTTAAGAAATCCTTATCATCACCATTAGACTCGAGCTTAATACCTACCTAATCATGGTCTCATTGAAAGAGCTCTTTGAACCATTGACCTTAAGATAAGTACTGCTATATTATGTACCTTATTATACATATAACTTGGAAGGGAATAGAAAAAAATATATTAAATAAATTGATTTTATTTAGTTTTATTATAGCTTAAAGTACATGACCAATATCTCGAATGCGTATTGGTTACAATGGAATTACAGATAAATTATAAATATCAGTTTAATTATTTACTCGTATACCCAGTTTTCATCTGCGGGAGTCCAGCCAATAAGTTCCTTTTCAGTGAACCAGAGACCGATTTCTTTGTTGGCGGATTCAACACTGTCTGATCCGTGAATTATGTTGCGGCCCACCTGGATGCACAGGTCCCCACGAATAGTTCCGGGCAAAGAGTCGGCTGGGTTGGTTGCTCCGAGCATTTGACGGCCAGTCTTGACCACGTTGAGACCTTCCCATACCATTGGAACTACAGGTCCGGAGCTCATATATTTGACGAGACCGGGGAAGAAGGGCCGTGAAGCCAAGTCACTGTAGTGATTTTTAAGTAATTCCTCTGATGGCCAAACGAATTTGAGAGCTACTAACTTGAAGCCTTTCTTCTCAAAACGCTCGATTATAGTGCCGACGAGTCCGCGTTGAACTCCATCTGGTTTGATCATAATGAACGTCCTTTCACGTTGTTCCGCCATTTCGAGGGATGGAAAATAATGTCTCACAAACGGTCACTACGTGTGAAAGAGGTTACCAAAAAGAACCACCCGGCCAAGAGCACCGGATTATGTATGAATAAGGATGCATCGATATATCGATAAACCGATATATACCGATAAGTCAACGCTCAATATTATCGATATATATTAACAGCGATATTGAAATAGAAAATATCAATCAATATATCGAAACTAAGACATACAATAAATAGGAGAATATACTTTAATAGATCAATATGATGAATTTATACCACCATACGATGCCACCCTTTATTTGAAAGAAATCAAACAAGTGTCCTATCCAATTATCGATACGTAATCGTTATTTTATGAATGGATCGATACTGATAATTTAATTGAATATTTCGATCATAATTTTACATACTAGGTACCTACTGTATCTAGACTGATGCTTTAGACCACAGAAAAGATACAGACCAATGTCCGTGCAAGGCACTTGATATAATAAAATTGTTTATAAGCTTACTAGCTTTCCGCCAGCAGCTTCGCCCGCGTGATCATTTATTATACATAAAAACCCTCCTTTTGAATTACCCTATCTATGAAAAAAATAATCATCCGCATAATAATCCGTAGTTTTAAAGATTTAAACATACATAGGGACAGAGAAAGCGACTTTGTTTTATACTATGTAGTGATAGGAATGAGGAAGTATTAAAAAAAAACGAAAGCACTAAAAAGCACCTCCACTAGATAGCGACTCTAGCAAAAGTTGATTTTTACAGGAAACAAATGGACCAAAGACAGTAATTTCCGTTCCTTTTAACTAACATATTAAAAAACTGAAATTGGGAAAGTTCGAAACTTAAATATCAATACAAATACGAAAAAGTACAAACAGAATATGAGTTGTTAATTGAGTTTTGAAAACTAATTTACTTTTAAACATGAAAGAAAACCGAAAGGGTCGTCATGGTGAAATCAAGCACATATCGTAGCGACATCTAGTTTGATTTCGGGAACCAATTTTTTTTTATATACTTCCTCATTATTTTAGTGAACGAAACTTTCTATGAAAGACAGAAATCTATACTAATATTATAAAGCTGAAGAGTTTGAACGCGCTAATCTCAGGAACTACTGGTTCGAATTGAAAAATTCTTTTTCTGCTGAATAGACCATTTATCGAGGAAGGCTTAAGGTTATATAACATCACGTTGCAACTATTAGGAGCGAAGAAATAACAATAATGAAAAACGAAAGTGATGATTCGTGTTTGGACCCTGTAGTGTAAGTGAAAAATATTTTTCAATTAAATTTTCATTGTTTTATAAACAATGACGTCATTGTGCAAAATGACAATAGGCACGAGGGTTCATTTTGAAAATACTATTAGGTCAGGATTATGAATCCTGGGAGGCGGTCCTGCGAGACCGTGATGTCGCAGAAGGAGGACGCGGAGAGAGCACGAGAGCTGGCAGCCCTCGCCGGCTCTCTCCCCAGTCGTAGGACTGGGGGTAGAAGGCGTCGTTTTGCGCGCCTATCCCCGTCCTGAGGTCTGACTCCCCATCCCTGGGTTCTTTGTTCGGTCAGGGTCTGCGTACTCCGTCCTGGGCGGGTCCGCGTCCGCATATATGCTTTCGCATGTGTGCGGCCGGGGGCTCGTCTGGGTGGAAAGCACAATAAGGTGCACAGAATGGACCGGTCTCGTAGTCGTTTGTCTCTTTCCTCTCGCCAGGCAAGATGGAGGAGTGCGAAGGGACTGAGGGAGGCGGCTGCGAGGTGAGAGAAACCTGGGAGGTGCCCTACCGTAAGGTGGGGAGAGGAGTTCCCTTCGCCCCGCGGCTGCGGCGCTGTCGGGGTCCTGGCACTCACACACTTACATACATATTACACACACATACATACACGCTACTCTACCCCACACAACACATACACATACAATTACACGCTCACAACTACACATACGCTGGCATACACACACTTTCACTCCCACATTCATACATCTTACACACACATCTACACGCTGTACTAGTCTAGAGTAGTATAGTGGGGACTTACCTGCTGTGCTTGCTCGACGACTGGTGCGGCGCCGGGACCTCGGTAGGGCCGTAGCTGCGGCGCGACGAGAGGGGATGCGACCCGTAGACTGGCTGGACGCCCCTGTCTGCCCCTCGGGGCTGATACAGGGTGTGATGAGGCTATTCTTCCGTGGCGCATCGACCTACGAGGGGAGGGGATCCACGATAAGGGCTATGCCTGTGTGGATCCTCCCAACACGATGGGCAGGGGACTGGAGATTGCACAGTTGCGCATCTCCGGTCTCTAGTCAGGGGCAGCTGGCTGGTTCGCGCACCGGTCGGCATTGCACGCTCCTGCCTCGTCATGGGGGTGCGTCTCGAATGTCTTTGAGGCGTACCCCCAACCCGAGCGGGACCTGCCCTTTTCAGGGCGGGCCGAAATGGGGGCGAACCGCACGGTGCATGGCCTCCGGGCCGATCCCGCGCATCGCCTACCATGAGAGGGACATCGCTGAGTTTTAGTGGGTAAACTCCCGTTTCTTGTCTAGCCCCTTCGGGGGTTGGACCACAGGAGGAGTCCCACATCACCCGTGGAGCCCGCGCAGGGTGAAGCGGGTAAGCGTAACGCATTTCTCAGCGTCAAAAAAAAAAAAGTATTATGAATCGATAAAATCAGCGTTAATATATCTATTTTCGATTAATTACGATATATAAAAACTAATCAATTTCGAATCGATTTGATATAATTTTCAAAGTGAATCGACATGTTAGAATTGATACCCGATGGTAAAAAGGGTATAGAGAAAGACCAGGGGAGCTTTTAGGTCACATGAGTTTATTAACTACCAAAAAAATATACTTTATAAAATACAAACAGCACCGACAATAGCTTTACGAAGAGTTACTTTCAATATATAATAACAATAGACGCGCATGTGCAGAACAGATTGCCTAAATGTCATAATTTAAATTTAAATTAATCAAGGAGACTTTAAACCAAGAAGGTCTCCCTCAACACACCCCCTCAATCTGTTGCACATGCTGACTATCCTAACTTACACTTCTACTTGCCATTACAATACAAACATTAATTTAGAATGAATACCAAAACTACCGTAGATATATGTTTCTTATTCCCTATCTCTCAGATCCGTTTTACCTAACCTCTATTAACTCCTGTATATCCCTTTACATTAGACACATATAAATCGCTAACTGTCTCTAAACCTAACATCTTAAAACAAACTTTCTTATCTTCTCGACTTTGTTTGCCACAAAACTTCAGCTATATAAAAATCATTTAGCTAACTCATCTCCTACTCGACTTATTTTATCATAAAAACCTCAAACAATTAACTCCTACTCGATCCAACTTAATTATTCCTAACTTCAAAACACACTACCTACCCTACTACCTTATTGCGACAATACAGAATTTCTATTAAGTTATATAATTTAACCTCATATTCTATACCAACTCTATAAAATGCATTAGTTTTTTAAAAAATAATAATAAAAACAAACATTATAAATAACACAAACAAATATGATAACTTAAGGCCAATACTCTTTTTTTTTAAGAACTAGTTTCTAACTCTTCCATCGCAATGAGGAAGTATTTAAAAAAAATAAAGAAACTACAAAAAATTATGTTACTAGATGGCAGCACAAATTGTTGGATCTAAACGTCAATTCATGACGTTAAACCAAAGAGAATAGATTTGTTAGTGTTGTTATGGATCTGATAACTTGGATTAATATCGAGTTGAAATTTAACTAGTTCGAGTTATGCAATCGCAACTCGATTAATACAAAGTAATCTTTGAATAAATTTATTTTTTATTTGTATAGAGGAAAATGGAAACTAACATAATGGAAGTGAGCACAGAGGCTTTTTAAATTTATGGAAATCAATTGAATGCTGTGATATAATTAAAAGTGGCATCTAACTACGGTATACAATAATATTACGTTTTATAAATAAAATAGGTACTTATGTCATAGTAGGTCTAGGAATTTTCATTTTAATATTTAACAAAAGTTCTGAAAAAATAACAACTAGGTAAGTTAGTTTTATTGCTATTAGTTGTTTGTTGAACTTACAACAACAAAACTACATCAATTCTCAATATTTTTTTTATATTATGTATGGTGAATGAATGAATAGGGTTTATTAATCAGCAACAAAAGTCATAAAAACAATAATTTTTAAGAAAAATCCGTTTATTATCTATAAACTTACCCGATATGTATCAAATATACTATATATTCGTACAAAATAACATAACTGCTGGCTAAAATGACGTTTGTGCAAAGTGTAACGTGCAAATAACTTGTGCTTTTGAAATTAAGACTTTATAAAACTATTATCAGTTATTAAATCTTATATTCATAATTAAATCATCTTAATAAACATTCAGCAATTAACAAGAAACGTCTGCTCTAAACGAACAGCAAGATTGTAACTTTAAATTTCAAATGTCAAAGACACGTACAGTTACTATATTGCTACTGATCTTGCATGTCGACGGCGGATGTCGAGCCATGTGTTAAGTTAATTCGTACGGCGGGTTTGTTCTTTTTTGTTCTTACAATAATATTGTTAATAATAATTTGAATTCCTACACAACCTACTCTAGAAATCCGTTTTATTGAAATATATTATTTACTACGTACCTAGAGTTGTTATGGTCTCTTAAAATCTCTGCGGTGGTATCGTGTGCGTTAGGTGGTTACGATCCCTCAAATATAGTATAGTTGAGTTGTTTAGTTGAAATTAAAAAAGCAGCCCTTGCTAAGTTTCTTGGCGTTTCTTGTCAGTAAGAGATCTCCCGCCTTAGTTTTGCGAACCATTGGTAAAGTTTTCGACTTTCACAAGTACTATGTAACAGTCTAGATTGAATTGATTTTGATATTTATATTAATATCATTCGTTTTGTGGATGCATAATGACACTTCATCTTCATTATCATTTTTGTTCTCCATTCCAAACCTGAATTCGACGAAAGTTACGAGTAACCAATAAATTGGCTCATCACTAATGTTGACGTATCAACCAAACATCGTTCCTTTACACGTAACATAATAAACAACTTT